AATTCCATTTAAAAAAAAAAAAAAAAAAAAAAAAAAAAAAGACTGTATAAGGAAGTCCCTCCACACTTTGGATTGCAGTGGTGTGACGATCAGGAAAGGACTTTCTTCTTGCACCTGGAACCATTTGTTCCCCATTGTGCATTGCCAGTGAAATATGGTGATCAGTTGGTTGATGTGGATAACTGTAATTTCTACATTTACCTTATCTATTAAACCTGTCCGATCACTCCAGCATTCCGGCTCTCTCACTTCAAAGATTTGTACCTTCGCCATGCCACCCGTTTAACTGAGTGAGCTCCAGTTCCGTCTGTGTAGGCACTATGCGCGGCCTCATAGAGGGAAGGTGAAATGCTCACCCATACCCACAAGTACTGAGAATTTATAAAGAAAGCCATAGGCAAACAGGAGTGTGGGGGCATGGAGAAGATAGAAAGGGCCATCAAGTGAACCATCACTGTGTCCTGAGCAAAGTTACAGGTATACTTTACCAAAGAACTCCCTTGTAGTGGGGCTACCCGGGGCTGCTACTATTTCAGTTAATCATATGACTAACCTATGATTATCACTGGTGAGTGGGTCCTTAGTGATTCTGACACTCACATCAGCTGGGTCTGCTCTGGTGCATTGAACACGCATGATTGGGTTTGCACAGTAACATGTGTTGCATTAAGGCATCCTATTCATTTGAATGGACTACCCAACAAAAAATGAGCATGCATCATTTTCAGCAAAGCTGCACAGAGAGGGTGCGTTGGTGCAATGCCATTCTTGCTGAATGATGCACCGACTTGTAGTACCTTTAAGTCAATGCCATCTGAGAAAATATGCAGATTAGATCTTTTTTTCCTTTGTCACCTGCTGATCTTACCAGTAACACACTTCCTTGTTCTTGGGTGACAACACTTACTGTACTGTATAAATGGAGGAGCAATGTTTTCACCCTGTAACAAGAAGTGTGTGAGGACTACAAAACATTATTTGCGATATTACTGCAGAGTACACGGGGCAGCACTGGATTTCTGGTGTTTGTTTTTTGATTTAATCAAGCAGTTATAACTCCCCCGAACTGCATGCGTCTTTACTGAAGCCAGGTAACTAGTGCTAAGAAGTTCAGCATTGATCGGGAAGTGAGCGAACACATACTGCCACTCGCTCACTTCTCGATCATCTCCCTGCAGAGAGCAGTGACCATCAGTCACGGCTCCCTGCAGGCATACCCCCCCCCTCCCCGATCCTCCAGCGCTGATTGGAGGAACAGACTGGGAGGGTACAGCTGGCTCTGCCTCTAGATAGGCAGAACCCGCTGTCACTCACACAGGTGGGTGGATCTCAACAATATTGTCAGGATCCGGCTGCGGCAGTTTCAGTATATGGCGCGCTTTAGCTCGTCATATACTGAGCTTTGGGTCACGGGAAGGACGCTAGTATATGTCCTCTCGTGACCCTCAAGAGAACTATGGGGAAACCACTTACCCCATAGTTCTCTTTTAAATCTTATAAATGCACTTCTGTACCTTTAAATTATCAAAAATGTATCTTGTGTATCACTCGGCTGTAGATCTCCTCAAATCATCTCTGAAATGGTGCTGACACTGTCTTGCCTTCTGGAGGGTGGCTACCATTGTCCCCCATGGTACCTTGTGTGTGTTGTAAAGTAGCCACCGCTCCAAGCTCACTCCCGTGGTAGACTACACGTTTAGTTTACTAATTTGTATTGAGATTGTAGTCCATCACAGGAGTGAGCTTGAAGTGGTGGCTACTTTACAGCACACACAGGACCATGGGTATCGGGCCGCTCCCGGGAAGGGTATGTGCTGCGTGTGATTAGTACACAGCCCCTGTCCTTCTCTATGGGAGTACGTGGCCATACACCGCCCTACGCTGACCCCCAAGTGCAGGTCTGTACGGGTTCGGGTGTCCTGGCTCAGACAGTATCCATCCCGTCAGAGTACGAACACCCGCACCCATACGGACAAGCAGGGCGGGTGAGCGTATGGCCGCGTACTCCCATCTAGAAGCACAGGGGCTGTGTACTAATCACACGCAGCACCTGTCCTTCCCGTGAGCTGTACGTGCCGGCTTTTTCTCATGTGAATGAGGCCTTAAGGTACTTGAATGCTTTTTTTTTAAATTTAACTCCTGAGTTTAGTATCACTTTTACTTTAGGCCAGCCATAGGAGGAAGGTATCCTCCTACAACAAGCAAGGAGACAGACAAAAAACAAACTACCTGATAGACTGAAGTAACACAGGAATGGAACAGCCAAGTCACATAAAATTTTACATACGGGAAAATCTCTATGTCATTACCCCCTCACCCACAGAACACCCATAAATGTCTTGTATGAGCCATTTATCACAATTCTCTCACAGAAAAGTACTGTCCAGAACCTTTTTCCCCTCATTCAGCATACTTGGAGGTACAATCCTGAGATCAAACACCAAAAGAAAAATTCACACCTGTTTGCATGCGTCATGGAAGTGTGATGTCACCATAAAAAGCATCAGGTTCCTATCATTTGTGAACTGGGAGAGATTTATCAATAGTGTTCAAGTTTTCGAAAACTTGGAATGCAAAAAAACTAGGGCTGTGAAAATTAAAGATTAATTTCTCGATTAATTGTTAAACGTTTTGATCGATTAAAATTATTTTGATCGCTAATAACACGAGCGCCAGCCAAGGCATTGGCCTATACACATACAGCACAGCAATGAAGTAATAAAATGAACTAGGATCACACTAATCCAGCACGTTATTATTCTCAGTTGCCCCACTCAAGTGGCGGCCATATTGAGTGGGGGACTTGAGATTAATAACGTGCTGGATTACTGTGATCATATTTCATGTTATTACTTCATTGCTGTATGTGTATAGGCCAATGTAGTTGGATGTATGCGTGTTATAATTAATCGAAATTAATTGATTTAAAAAAAAAAAAAAATCAATTAATCGAACACGAAAATTTTAATCATTAACAGCCCTAAAAAAAAAAAATATGATCCTACAAGTACTGTATTTTTTCCTCCTAAACTGCAATTAAAGATTTCTATTATTACAGAAGAAATTCTACCCTGTTTCCCCGAAAATAAGACCTACCCTAAAAATAAGACCTAGTGCTATTTTTGGGAATTCTTAAAATATAAGACCTACCCTGAAAATAAGACCTAGTTGTGACCTTTCCCAGGGTCGGTGGTGGCAGAAGGGGAAACTAGCGCTGGCATCGCCGATTTTCTCCAAGAGGAAGCGAGGCGGCATCGGAGGGAGCAGAGCCACACAAGCCGGATGCCTCCTCTATAGCGCCGACTCCTGTCACAGGCGGAGTGATACCAAATGCACTCAGTATAAAGTACAGCTGGTATTTGTAGTTCTACCCTGTTTCCCCGAAAATAAGACCTACCCTAAAAATAAGACCTAGTGCTATTTTTGGGAATTCTTAAAATATAAGACCTACCCTGAAAATAAGACCTAGTTGTGACCTTTCCCAGGGTCGGTGGTGGCAGAAGGGGAAACTAGCGCGGGCATCGCCGATTCTCTCCAAGAGGAAGCGAGGCGGCATCGGAGGGAGCAGAGCCACACAAGCCGGATGCCTCCTCTATAGCGCCGACTCCTGTCACAGGCGGAGTGATACCAAATGCACTCTGCCTGTGAGGAATTGATAGTGAAAGCGCGCTTTGTTCATTCTGGCCAGCGATTGGTTGCCAAATTGCTCTTGGAAAGGTACGACACACCCCTGATTGCCCTGATCAACCTATTCTTACCTTTGCCATTTTGGATTATTTAATTTGGATTTGCATTCATTTTGGATTGTTGTACATTAAAAAAGACCTTCCCCGAAAATAAGACATAGTGTGTTTTTTTGAGCCGAAAAAAATATAAGACAGTGTCTTATTTTCGGGGAAACACGGTAGCAGGACTGACTCCTTCCCTGGGTAGCCTTACACTGGGTACTCCCACTTTAATAGGGTCAATTCGATGATCGATTTTGACTGTAAATTAAGATTGAAGGAGCGAATGTTACCATCAAACGAAATTTTGAACAATGTTCACCAAGTCTCTGATGTTATTAAATGTATTGATGAGATGTTTTTATATGAAAGTTGGTATGAAAATCTACTAGTTGATGGCCAGCTTTACAGTTTAGATTCAACCTGATTCTGTGACTGATACTGTACAGAGCTCATCTCTTACACCCCCCACTTTTCTCATAGGTACAAGGCCTGACGTAGAATCTGGAAGGAATGCCTTATCTCTTCTTTAAAAAGTAAGGGAGGGGGAATGTGTTCT